ACACTTTGTATCACTGGGATAAGACACAGCAAGATGCTTTCGATGCTCTTAAAGGAGAATTCAAAGAAGGGAAAATGTTACTACACTTTAACCCCTTGAAACCTGCCACTCTTGAGACAGATGCCTCAGATTTTGCCATTTCTGGAATCTTATACCAAGCTCCAAAAGACAAACAAGAAGAGCTACAGCCTGTGGCATTTTACTCAAGAAAGCTATCAGCAGCCGAACAAAACTATCCCATTACAGACAAGGAACTGCTTGCCATAGTATGTTCTCTAAAGCATTGGAGATGCTACCTTGAAGGGGCAAACTATCCTATCACTATTTACAGTGACCATTCAAATCTCTTGACCTTTACAACCACTAAACAGCTCAATCGACGACAAGCAAGGTGGTCTGAACAACTAGGAGGTTTTGACTTTGTTATAAAACATGTCTCAGGGGCCAAGAATCAAAGAGCAGATCTCCTCTCAAGAAGACATGACTACCAAGATTCTGCTAAAACAAGCAATACAAAGGCCCTGCTAGACTCTACAAAGCTTATAGCAGCATCTTTAAGCAACCCTCGCACTACAGAGGACTTAGAGGGAAACTTATCCCCTCAAAACCAAGTTGCCCCCATTACCTCTTCTCAGAAACCAGAGACCTTTAAAGACTATACACCCTCAGCAACACTTCTTAAAGCATTCAAAAATGCTTACAACCACGATCCCTTTGCCAAAAGAACTTTGGAATACCTCCAGAAGAAAGGCTCCTCTCTTGAGAAAGTTGGACTACAAAATTTCTCAAAAAATCAGCAAGGACTTCTCTTATTCAAGAACTATATCTATGTCCCAAGGGATAAACGATTACAGCTACACCTCCTACAGCAGTTCCATGATGCTCCAGCTGCAGGGCACTTTGGCTTTGCAAAAACTTATGAACTTCTAACAAGAAAGTTCTACTGGCCTAGTCTAAGGACTACTCTTCAAGACTATATATCTTCTTGCACTACTTGCAACTTGAACAAACCTACACGGCAAAAGCCCTATGGCCTCTTGCAGCCTCTACCTATACCAGAACGCCCATGGGACTCCATATCCATTGACTTTATAGTCAAGTTGCCTCCTTCTATCCCAAAAGGGGGTGCTACCCCTTATGACTCTATCCTTGTGGTGGTAGAAAGGCTCACAAAAATGGCACACTTTGAGCCTTACAATGAGACTATCACAGCTTCTGAACTTGCGTGGCTATTCCTCAAGGTGGTCTTTAAATATCATGGAATTCCTGGACACTGGATCTCAGATAGGGGAGCAGTTTTCACTTCAAACTTTTTTAAGGAGTTCTCTAAACTCTTAAACATGGAACAACGCTTTTCTACAGCTTATCACCCTCAAACAGATGGCCAGACAGAGAGAGTCAACTCTGTACTTGAACAATATCTAAGAATTTATACAAACTATGCTCAAGACAACTGGGCAGATCTTCTCCATCTTGCAGAATTTGCTTACAACAACACGGTCTCTAACACCACAAAAGAGACACCTTTCTATGCAAACTATGGTTATCACCCTAGGTTTGAAGTGGCAGAACTTAATTGTCCTGAAAATCTCAAAAACCCTTCTGCTACTGAAAGAATCATCTACCTTAAGGGCCTCCAGGACTATCTCGATCAAGTCTTTTTGTCTAGAAGACATATCACAACTACTAGACCATCAGACAAACTTGATACTAAAAGACTTGGACCCTTTAAGATCACAAGGACTATTGGCAAGAATGCTTTCGAGCTTGCATTACCACCTACTTGGACTATCCATAATGTCTTCCATGCATCTCTCTTGTCTAAGGCACAAGAAAGTTCCTTAAGACCACTTCAGTCTCCTCCACCTCCTGTTCTGATTTTGGATCAACCAGAATATGAAGTAGAGTCTATCCTTGACAAAAAGACACTTAGAGGTCAGGACTACTTCCTCGTTAAGTGGAAAGGCTATCCCACAAGTGACAACACTTGGGAACCTAAGAGAAATCTAAAAAATGCATCCAAGCTGATTCTAGAATTTTTTTCTAAGAAAGCCACCTGGCTAAAGGGCAAGCACACAGCTAACAAACGTCCTTAAGAGGGGTATCATGTCATACTGACATTCGTTGCACTCAGTTTGCTATCAAACTCAAGAGCAAACTTGGAAATCTCCTCCTCAAACCTACAAGTCACTATACATATTTTGGCTTATCACACCAACAACAAGAGCAATACTACTCAACGATTGCTACAACCATCTATGATTCATTACACGTCATCGCTCCTTAGTTACTGGGCCGATATTACCACATAGCATATCTCTACAACCCTCTATGATTCATTACATGACATCACTCATACTACCACATGACATATCTCTACCAACTAGAGGCCTAGGAGCATGAACGATAGCTCTAAAAGCTCCTACGAACCTCTATGATTCATTACATGTCATCGCTCTTTAGTTACCCACAAGATTGGTTAAGTTATGACATAATTTGTCTATGACATAATTTGTCTATGACATAATTTGTCTATGACATAATTTGTCTATGACATAATTTGTCTATTGGGGTACTCTGACCTTGGACCTCCTTTTACTTCCTATAGGCTACGAACCTAAGAGATGGTTCTATGGGATTCTCTTACGTCGACTACAGTTACCAAGCCTGGTAAGTCATGGAAAGTCTTGGAAAATGAGAGAACTACACTCCTTTAGCATAAATAGGATTGCCCTTTCCTTAAGAAAGGGCAAGCAGACAATACAGTAAATCGACTATCACATACTTCCACGTCTTTTCCAAGCTTCCAAGCATTCATCTTGTTACTCCTTGTTTCTGAAAAGTCAGTGAGGTGTTAACCTCTGACTTACCCCTGAGTTCCCAGACTCAACATTTGTTGCAACTTGTCTGAACCACTTCACTACATCACACACCTGATTGCTGCGTTGTGGAATAGTCTAAGCTACGACCCTTTGGCTCTGTTTTCTAAGACAGTGTGTTGTCTTAGTAAATTCATCCCTTCCTTGGGTGGCTAGATTCTCACATCTGGTGCACCCACCATTACACCCTGATCCTTCCACCGCAACAGGTCAGCATCTGTAAGGATGCCTTCTCGTCTCTCATTCTAGGGAGTAGACTCCGGGTAGCTGCGGGGTCACGTGTGATCATTTGGATGGCCTAACCGAGTCGGAACTGAGTCGGATGGGTTTCGGATACTTGAGAAAATCGACTGACGGGGGTTCCCCATCATCTTTTTTGTATCCTTCGTAGTAGACCTATAGGATAGCATTCTGACTCGCACTCTCATATGCTATTACTGTGAGCTGGGTGCCCTGTGTCCTTACAGCATCGACCCTGAACCCTACAACCTTACCATCCCCCACTATAGTGTAACTCGCTATGTGCTCCTCTACTGGTTCGAAACCACACCGAATCGGATTTCATGCTTGTAGTGACCGTAACAGTTCTGAGACAGGTTCTTCGAGTATCTAGGTAAGGAGGCATCCTTACAGCAAACTTAGAAATCTCCTCCTCAATGTAATGGTGGGTGCACCAGATGTGAGAATCTAGCCACCCAAGGAAGGGATGATTTTACTAAGACAACACACTGTCTTAGAAAACAGAGCCAAAGGGTTGTAGCTTAGACTATTCCACAACGCAGCAATCAGGTGTGTGATGTAGTGAAGTTGTTCAGACAAGTTGCAACAAATGTTGAGTCTGGGAACTCAGGGGTAAGTCAGAGGTTAACACCTCACTGACTTTTCAGAAACAAGGAGTAACAAGATGAATGCTTGGAAGCTCGTAAAAGATGGGGAAGTATGTGATAGTCGATTTACTGTATTGCCTGCTTGCCCTTTCTTAAGGAAAGGGCAATCCTATTTATGCCAAAGGAGTGTAGTTCTCTCATTTTCCATGACTTTCCATGACTAACCAGGCTTGGTAAATGTATTAGAAATCAAGTGCGACCCACAACTAGCTTGCTAATCATGTAGTGAACGTAAGAGAATCCCATAGAACCATCTCTTGGGTTCCTAGCCTATAGGAAGTGAAAAGGAGGTCCAAGGTCAGAGTACCTATAGACAAATTATGTCATAACTTAACCAATCTTGTGGGTAACTAAGGAGCGATGACGTGTAATGAATCATAGAGGGTTGTAGAAGCTTCTAGAGCTATCGTTCATGTTCCTAGGCCTCTAGTTGGTAGAGATATGCCATGTGGTAGTATTGGCCCACCCCCTTAAGGAGGAGATTTTCTTAATAACTTGTTCAATGAGTGTCCAAATGATATGCCGTGATGTATGTAGCATAAACAGATGTAGTAGAAGAGTTTGCAGCAATCGTTGAGTAGTATTGCTTCTGTTGTTGGTGTGATAAGCCAAGATATGTATGGTGACTTGTAGGTTTGAGGATCAGATTTCTAAGTTTGCTCTTGAGTTTGATAGCAAACTGAGTGCAACGAATGTCAGTATGACACTCAAACCTACAAGTCACTATACATATTTTGGCTTGTCACACCAACAACAAGAGCAATACTACTCAACGATTGCTACAACCCTCTATGATTCATTACACGTCATTGCTCCTTAGTTACTGGGCCGATATGACCACATAGCATATCTCTACAACCCTCTATGATTCATTACATGACATTACTGGGCTAATACTACACATGACATATCTCTATCAACTAGAGGCCTAGGAACATGAACGATAGCTCCAAAAGCTTCTACAACCCTCTATGATTCATTACACGTCATCGCTCCTTAGTTACCCACAAGATTGGTTAAGTTATGACATAATTTGTCTATAGGGGTACTCTGACCTTGGACCTCCTTTCACTTCCTATAGGCTAGGAACCTAGGAGATGGTTCTATGGGATTCTCTTATGTCGACTACAGTTACCAAGCCTGGTTAGTCATGGAAAGTCTTGGAAAATGAGAGAACTACACTCCTTTAGCATAAATAGGATGGTCCCCTCAAGCAGTATCAGACTCTGCCCACGCGTAATGTAAGGAAAGTGCGCTATTGAACGCTATATGGCATTCACTGATGTAACTCCACTGCCCGACCTCTTTTCTTAAGATTTTTTAGCTGCTCTCTCGACCCCCTCAGATAAAGAAGTGTCTGGAGTGACATCTCGGGATGGAGCACGGCTTGACTGGCTTTCCTCTCGGAGAGATGCGGCTTTGTGGCTTGACTGGCGAGAGAGATAGTGGCTCTCCAGCCCCTGTGAAAGTCCAGATTCACCCAACTCGGATTGCTCTGAGACCTCAAAATCTAGATCTTGTGGCAGCTCGTCGATGGCTGAACGGATTCTTTTGAGATGAGTAGGCATCCACATTTCATAGAAATTTTTGGCAAACCTGTATGCCGTCCATTTCTCTTTGCCATCCAGCGCGGTGAGGTCGAACGTATGGACCGGGTGACGGTAGATTGTTGCCTTGTCTCCGCTTATTACAGGATAGTGGCCGTAGATTCTCACCGTCCGATGATCATGCGAGACTGAGAAGGCGAGAATTTCCCGATGGAGCTCATTTTCACGCTTCACAAGCCTGAAGAGTTCCACAACACCTCTCACAGCAATAGTCATGCTGTGAGCATTTTGTCGGTCTGCAACATCAAGCGCCGCACCACCACACTTTACTTCGCACGTTAGGAATGGGAAGTACATATAGTACGTTCCCATAAAGTAAGAGGTGTCTATAACACCGCCAACGAAAGGTTGAAGCTTTTGAAGCGGCTCTTCAGTAAACGACTCTCGCCGGAATCCTACAGAATAGTCGGGTTGCGGACGGGTCTGAGTAATAGGAATAGAATTATTCCAGCCTTCATTGACGCTTTCAATTAAATCCTTGAGGTTCTTGGCGCCACGGATGGCCAGCGTTTCCGCAGAAGGGACGATCAAAGGTGAAATATCACGGACGACTCTAGCCTCATTTTTGTTCCGTACCATCTCGCAAGTTTCTTCAAACAAGTCATCGTGAAACAACGAATCGACGGGAAATGATTGCTCAGCCTCGAGAAGGGTTTGGCAGTAGTTCTTATTGTTATCAGTGACACCCAATTTGGATTTGCCCATGTAGCTGCTGCCTTTAGTTGCTAGTTCATTCTCATAACGCGCATCGTGATATGGAGCACTTTTGACTTCCCTCGGCTTCTGATCGCTAGGCGTGGTAGAGCTAGGTGTAATAGAGCCAGCTTCGGATTGTTTTCTACGAAGCGAAGAAGTCGACTTCTTGCAAGTAAATGGTTCATGCTGTTCTCCCTCTTGAAGTACTCCTTAGGCCACGTTCGTTTATCCGTCCAGTATTCGATTGGGTCGATTTCCCTCTCGCCAAGTTCGCTCGCTTTATCCTTGCTTAATGTGACCCCCCCGGATGTGTCCTCGAAAGCAGGTTGTGAAGGTGACGTCCGCGCTCGTTTTCGAGTGGGCCTGGACGTTGACAGAGGGACACTTTCGGCTTCTTGCGATCGTTTTCGTTTTCTATTCTCAGAATGTGGAAACTTGACTTGAATTAGTTCTGCAGCATAGCGGAAGGAGAGTGTAACATGCCTCTGTGTTGAGAGTATTACAAGCTGGGGAAGGAAGGGTTTGCTTGAGTCCGGTATTCCCGACCTTGGATATGGTTCGTTCCTGGCTGCGTTCTATATTTGCTATACGTGCGCTCTTACGAGATGATGGTTGTGGTCGCTCCTTTCTAATACCTTGAGGTCGCTTTCCTATCAATGATCAGTCAAAGAAGTACGTAGTTACAACGAAGAGCAACTCACCGTGGTCTTTTGGTGCAACTGGTTGCCGCCCAACTTTATGGCCGTTCGATTTTGTTTCACGAGGCGCCATATCGGCTAGAAAGAGGGGATAAGACGTGAATATATATGCTGCTTGGTTGGAACAGTCGACGGTTGACGGTAGGATTCGCCAGTGATAGGTGGTGAATGCGGCAGAGTCATAGTAGAAATATCCCAGCGGTAACCGTTGCGATTTTAGAAACCCTGGGGTGAGCGTCAAATTAGCGCCATGCCAAATAGGCTGGCCGGGATGTATGACCCACAATATGCTTAGCGGGGGTTTTAGGTCTCGAGGTACGTATTACGCAACACGATAAGGCATGCGACCATGACACGCTAAACCCTGTTGCATCGGCCCACCGCCTTGTCACCAAACCTGGTCCCCAAAAGTGCCCGGGGTTGTGGTGTCGAGCAACAATGTTCTTCCTCTTCCGCTGGATTTCTGGGAGTTCGCTGTGGCTATCGAGCTTACTTGTTCATATTCTTGGTACTACAAGTTGGTTGTTGGGCATTCGGGGCAATAAGAGTATCGGAGGACAGGATGTTCAGAGGGTAAGTCTTTCGGGTGGTCTCGTGCATCTTGCCTTGCACATCTTAACAGGACGCTTATGTGTAGGACCCGGTTACGACACGACATCAAGATGATATCAAAGCCCTGAGGCTTCTAAGGGTCTCGCAATGTTTCGATTCTGACAATGGTGTACTTCGTTATAAATATACGAAAGTTCTATATGTCGAAGATGGCAACACGTACCAAGCGCGATCTAAATCGCGGCTTCGACCAAACTTAGACATTGAGTTCAACCAGGACGAACTTACGCATATTACACTCATTCCAATCGAATCATACTGCCCTCCATACTCTCCTGAATTCACCTTAGCTCCAAAAGCTCCCCCGGAAGGCCACTATGTCAAGCAACCCGATCTTATGTCCTATGGGGAAGGGCTGAATATCTGCGATATTGTTTTGACCGATATAAGGGCTTGCGAGATTCTACGGAAATCTCCTCATCCAAACGTCGCACAGTATCATGGTTGCCAGGTTCACAATGGGCGAGTTACGGGTCTCTGTTTCACGAGATACGCGGAAACTCTTACGCAAAGAGTAAACCCAGGCCATCTCAGCAAGGACGACTTTTCTAGGAGTGGTCCCCGAAACCCAGATAGGGTGGAACATTATCTCGAAGGTATTGAGAGTGGGATTCATCATATACACTCTGTCGGCCTCATCCACAACGACATCAACCCGAATAACATCATGATCACCGAAGATGATAGGCCAGTGATTATTGATTTTGACTCATGTCTGCCAGAAGGATCACCATTAGGTTTGACGAAGCGAACATTTCAATGGCACAACCCGGTGGATCAAATTTCCAAAATGAGCAATGATATCTGGTCATTGAAAGAAATATGCACTTGGCTGGCTGGTGCTGGCAATGAGGAATGAATACCAAAGGTCAGACACACCAGCATGGTCATTAGGGTTGATGAAGCGAACATTTTAATGGCACAACCCAATGGATCAAAGTTCAAACAAGCAATGATTCCTGGCCATTGAAAGTCTTTCTGTGAACGTTTTCTACAATAGTTTCATATCATGAGAGAGTGGAATGAAGAATATTGGATTCCAAAGTGTTTTGTTGGCTAAGTAAACGAATGATTGTAGATCGCTTTGTTTGCCATACAGGCGGTAAGGAGCGCAGTGAACAAACATGTTCTGGAAAGCAGCACGTTTTTCCTCAGTTTCAATTGTCTCCCCCAAGAAGTTATTCACTGTACACCAAAGATTAGCAAAACGTCTAAGGCAAGCAACCCCCCTGGTTAGTGGATTGCTGTCGTCTACGTTCCACTTGCCTATTTCTTTGGTTCCTCTGGTGGGACATAATTATCGGAGTATTCGCAGCTTGATGACTCGCAATCTTTGATTTTCTGAATAACCCCCGCCCAGGAAGTGAAAGTGCAGTTGTTGACTGGGACTGGGCCGCCAGTTTTGCCGTAAGGGATGAGTTGCGCCATGTTCCTAGCGCAGTCAGTTTTATCTTGCGAGTATGTTCCGCTCCACATACTTTGAATAGATGCGGGCTTTCCGAGTCAAGGATGGTATTTGGGTTCTTGGAGTCGATGGTTGGCTTGGGAAGAGAAGGTAACGCTGTTGCTTTATAGGAGCTTGACCCCGAGATGGGTTTTTGATGCGAAGGCTAGCTGCCGTGCTCAAGGCAGCCGTGAGGTTGCACGTATCGACCGCGATATTGAGGAGAGTCAACGCTTCGTAACGCCGCAATATATCGCCAGCCAACAGCTGCGCCCATGTATCAAACCTGGTCAAGGGACCAAGGATCAATAAACCAATGATGCCAGTCAAGATTTATCCAGCGGCTATCCCAGCGGCCAATAGTCCTTCTGAAGTATGGCCGAGGCAGATACCAGTGTAGTCAACCTGAGATGTCGGACTCAAATTACTTCTGCAGATGAAACCAAAACGAGGAATGCTGGCTTTCTATTGGTTAGTGTATTGTACTCGATGGCTCGAGGGCCGCCGGAAGGATGCGTCATGACTGCCCATCATATGAAAATGAGAGTGATGGTGCAGGAAAGGCGAACGTTTGGATGTTGGAGGAATTGCGAAGCAAAGACGACGTGCAGGAAAGGCGAATCTATCTCCACACAAGTACTATGAGTACACATAATCTCACGTAGGAACATTATAAGATCTCCAAGATGCTGCTACATGCCAAGCTGACCAAGCCTCATCATCTCTTGCATTAATATCGATGTCTGTAGCTAGTAAGATCTTAACTACCTCGAGGAAGCCTGATGCCAAAGGCGGTGGGGGCCCAGCAATGACAAGATGTAGCATCGGGAGCTGGCTCCAATGGGATATTCTATATTGACAGGCGTCGGCGCCAAATCTCAACAGTATTCGAACGGCATCAGCCATGCCGTATTCGACAGCCCACGCAAGAGCACTTCGACCACGCGAATCCGGTTTGTCGATTGGTTCTGAAAGCGATCCAAGACTCTGTAAAGACTGAGGGTGTTCCTGCAAGCTGGAATTTTCCAGATTGATGCCGAGAAGAGTCTCATGAAGTGTTGTGAGACTGTAACCGGTTCGATGTTCTTCAACAAGCTCATGGCTGCTCATGTTGCAGAGAAGTGCCACTTCAATCACAGCTGGCGAATTTAGATCTCTGCACCTCTCCACCACAGCAGAGTCAGCCATTGTATGAAGAGGAGTACTGATGCACGAGATCAGCAGCCACATAGAACCATCCAGGGTTGGAATATCTAACTTCCCAATCTCACCCATCATATTCATATCCGCGCCCGTTTGAATCAGCATTCTACACATTTGGATTGCCTTAATCGCTCCATAACATCTCCAGCAATAATAACTCGCGTACTATAGTATATCAGTAATAGTTTGGAATAGCTGAATGCTTTCCTCACATAAAGTAGTCCAAGGTTGTATGGATCGACATCATAGATCGAGGCCATGCCCGCTTGCAACAATGCTCGGGTAGCATTTATATCCCCTGATTGCACGTAAATGAGGATTGGTGAATCATATTGCACTGTGTACTGTGGATGCGTGCTCTTGTTAAATGTTGCTTCGAGAGATATGCTATAGCTGTTGTAAGATGACTCAAGCCCTGTATGGGTATCGGTGTTTATCAGTTGGTCTTGACGTCGAAGATGTTGAGATAATAAACTCGTGGCAGCGTCGTCGACGTCATCATCGTCGACTAAGTCGATGACATCCCGCAACGCATTTTTTAGGTAGCGATATAGGCTCTCCGTTGTTTTTAGAGTCTTATCAATAAATATTAGGACCCTTCGGATAACAGTTCGATAACGGTTTGTGGATCGGTGTAAATCATCGTCTTCTAAAGCCGACTGGAGGTCGTCAAGGCCTTCCTTTCCAGCACGTAGACAAGCTGTAAGGTTGCAGATTGCACGGCATCGCGAGGCCTTGCGCACCGCTTTGTCGTAGCCAGTGTGTCGTTCTACTGAACGATAGAGAATTGCGAACCACAGTCCCGAGATGATGTTGCGTAGCGCCTCTTTAGCTTCCATTTTTTCCAATGCAGCCATCTTCATTCGGCAGTGACGCGAAGAGCCTACTTTTAGGCATAACAAATGCTGTTGGCGAAACCAAAATGAATTGAACGGCGAAGGTTGGAGTGTCGTCTGTCAAAGAGCGATGATGATAGCAAGTAGATAAGCTTGTTATCGGTTCTAGTGCCATCACACTTTCGCCTTTCCTGCAAGTATCCTTGACTAGTCTTTGTCTCACCTTGTCGTTTTGTCCCGTCCCGTCTCGTCTGGTCCCGTCCCGTCTCGTCTCGTCTGGTCCCGTCCCGTCCCGTCCCGTCTCGTCGCCCCGCCTCAGTCACCTTTGTTAATGCTACCACAATGCATCTGGTCACCTTATTGAGCTCCCCAAGAAGGCACTAGGAACAATCTTTCATTGTATATAGCTTCAATAGCTTCAATAATATAGCCATCTCTGATGCAAATTCCAGCCCTAACTGCCCAAATCTGATGACATCGCCTAGCCCGACAGCCATGCGACATGAAGCCTACGATATTCCATGATTCCAGCCGCCCCCAAAACCATATCTCCAGCCAGCCTAGCAATGCCATCGCAGAGATATACTCCACGGAAAATCCATTATCCCAAGCCAAGCCAGTATTCATGCAGCATTACACCACTGCCACAAAAGCTCATCCGTGGCCGTAAGTTTCCTTCATCTCAAACAGAAGGAACAAAAAGGTTATTGCAGCCACTTGTTGTCCACATCGGGGGTCCTCCTCTCACATCTGGCGCTGGCAGCTTTGAGAACGTTGGGAAGTAATCGTCAGCTTTCACCAGCTCACTGAATGTGAGAGCCTTTGGTGCTTTGCCGTTGGTAGTCTTGTGGACCACCTCAAAAAAGGCATCGCGTTTGAGTAAGTCGTATGTCTCTAAGAGTGAGAATTGTTCCATATATTTTGTCACATTTGCGCGTGAGTGCGGGTGGTGTTCCGTGTGGTTTTGGTCAGACTCCCAATCGGCCATCAGCTTTGCCCTTGCACAGAAGTGCGCGTAGATATCAATGGCGTACAGTTGCGCCAGCCGAGTGCTTTCTTCGAGGCTCAAATAGTGGCACACGAATTGGAAACCTCAAAGAAGTTCTCCGGAGTAAAACGTCTTTGAAATGTCTTCACAAGGTCCTTCATATTACCACAAGACGCAAGGAGCCCCGATTCGTCAGCCTCCATGGCTGTTTTGACATGCGCCTAAGATATGTGAGACCATACCTTAATATGTTTTGTAGATCCAATTACTTACCAAGATGTCATTCCGAAGATGATACTTCCAGCCTCGCATCTTGTCCTGGATAAGGCAGCGCAAACTCTCGAACGCCCGTGAATACGGGGGCAAGTTTGGGACCACTTTGCGGATTGCTTCTTCCTTTAAACCAGGGAGGTCATGCGTGAAATGTTGCAGCAGAAGAAATCGTGCCTCTCTATCAATTGCATCGGTTTTCTCCTTCCAGAAACCTTCCGGGTCTTGCGAGAAGTTTGTAGCTTGATAGACATTCATTTCAGCTGTAATTATTTGGTCAAGCCGTCCTGGGTGTACATTTCCAATGGCCTTTTGCCCTTGACTTTCAACCATTGCGCCGGCTGCTTCAGCTCAGCAGCGCGCTGCTTTGCGGATGCATGCTTCCTTTTTTTGGATGAGGCAGATGCAGTGTTGCGGACGTATAATCGGAGGGAGCTTCTTGATAAAGCTGGTTCGTCCTGGGTCGGGGTAATCTCACGCTCAGAGAGCTGGTCATGGCCGTCGTTTGATGCATGTTCTGACAGATCATCATCGAAAACGCTGCGACTTCGAAGGAGGGGCTAAATAGGCATTAGTTATAAGCATAGAAAGATAGAAAACAACTCACATCAATGTGTGACTCTGTATTGTTAGGCGTCAGAGGCATAACGCGGGACCGTTTCTGCGGTGGATCAAATGGTCGCATTTTGATGAGAGTGATGAACAGAATGCCTAGTTTGATAGAAATAAACAGAGAGATTTGCCTACTGGCACAAGATAACAGACAGAATAAGAAATCAAATAATATAAATGATGAAAGACTTCCGATAGGTGACAACCTTCAACCCTTAGTGATGCTGCAGATATGGTAGTGATGTAGGCAGTAATGGTGGAAATGGCTTCAAATCCCAAAACGGTCACATGACCACTGTGATTCACAGCCGTTTCTCACTTTTCCACCTCATCACCAACCTCACCTCGTGTCAACACTGCCCACAGAAGAAAGAAGAAGTAAGTCAAGGAAAAAAAGGAATCTTGATCATTACTAATTGTTTTATAGGTTCACACAATGCCTCAGAACAGAAGCAAAGTTCAGCAAACGTGTCAGACTGATAACTTGCTGAAACAACCTCACTGTCTGGAGCAAATATCCTTGTGTGTTCACCTCACGGCATGAGTTTTTCTCTCTGAACTATTCTCCGACCCATCTACAGCTTGGCCACTTATACCTCCAACCTGTTTGTATCTTGGCAGCTCATACCTGTGCCTCGTTGCCCTCAAGTTCACCAACCAAACCGATATACTGAGGCTAGAAAAAAATCGTTAGAAAAGATACTCCCCCCGCAGCACTAGAAACACCAAGTTCTTTCGAAGCTGTTCTCTCTAGCTACCAAACAAATCTCTCAGAATCGCCTTAGCACTGGAAATTCTCTCTAGATATCAAAAGTCCCTGGGTATCCAGCCCCATCACCAATCCATCACCAAAAGCCCCCGGGTATCCAGCCCTGTCATCAATCCATCACCAAAACATCCTAGGCATCCAGCCCTATCACCAATCTATCGCTGAAACATCCTGGGCATGCAGCCCTGTCATCAATCTATTGCTGAAAGCTCCTAGGCATCGTGAGCTGTCGCTGAAATATCCTGGGCATCCAGCCCCATCACCGATCTATTGCTGAAAGCTCCCAGGCATCGTGAGCTGTCGCCAAAACATCCCAGGCATTGTGAGCTGTCGCCAAAACATCCCAGGCATTGTGAGCTGTCGCTAAACCACATCTCAGCTCCTCGAGGACATTCAAATCTCTTGCTGCTGGAAACTCTTAGCTCCTGTGAAACCACTTCTCCAAGGTGGTCAGCTGACACATGCTGTGCTTCATCAACAGTCCCCCCCCCCAAACAGGATTTTGCTCAGAGCTTCCCAGGTTTTCCTAGCCCTGGAAAAATCCAAGATATCTTAAACACCTCATTTGGAGGTTGGAAATATAAAGTGGATTTGGGTGCAACCGGACTTGAGCCAAAAACCAGAAGATTGGTCGACTGCAACCACCCAATACATAGGTCAGCCATAGCTGGCTATCTTTGGCAATGCCTCCTCGACCCTTGCGATCTCGACTGAAGAAGAGGGCACATTTGTTCCGGGCTCCAATCCCTAGGCCCAGTGCACCAGCAGTCGACAGTGGTGGACATAATGCATTAGGTATACAGGCAGGAAACCATGGAGATCAGCCATCAGATACAAGTATACAGTTTAACGCTATGATTAATGGTGATGCTAGTGATGACTATGATAATGACTATGACACAATTGGCAGCAACAGCGATTCTGATATCGACATGCCCCTGCCCCAACCCCAAGATCTCCAGGAAATCACCGAGAAAGCAATCCAGGATCTTTCAGGCCACATTCCTGTGGATGATCCTGCCACGACAGTTCCATATGCTGACACTGCCAGAAATGACGTCTTTGTGCTAGAGATCCCTACGGAGGACTTCCTTCCTGATGACTTGAGGATGCCCCCTCCCCCCATTCCAGCTGCCACTGAACACGCTTCCATCCTTGGCGAAGATGATTCTGAGCTTGTCCAGCACAACCGATCATCACAGCCATTCAGCCCATACCTGGCGTTCATGGCCATGTGGGCCGAAAAGTACAATCTGTCCCGGCAGGCCTATCAAGGTCTTAATGAGGGATTACCTCTTGGACAAGATCTTAACATCAAAGCAGTAGAGTTGCCACGAGATGTTACAACTCTAAAGAAACAGTTTATGGCACAACTGCCATTGCTCCCACTACAGCACAAGATGGTTGATCTCAACCAAGAGAAGCTCCCGACAATGACGCCAGCAGAGAAGACAGGCCCGAGAAAGGACCGCCAGGCTGATGCACACTGGTTTGATGTTGCAATGTTGGTAACTGCAATATTGTCAGCGGAAGACCTCCACAAGGACTTCTGGAAGGGACTCGGGGCGTTCGTGGATACCCCAAACAAGATATGGGAATGTGATGTGTGGCTTTGCTCGCTCCGGACAATGTCTGGAGAGCATATTACATTCTCCGATAGGCTACCAGTTATCTGCTCTGAGTTTGTGGAGTATAACTCGAAGAAGAAAGGCGGCGTCTGAGTTGGCCGAGTTTATAGCATTGGAATCGATAAAAGAACAGACGCCATCGAGAGAGGCAAGCCAGTTGTAAAGTCCAGATGGTCTATTCAACAGCTGAGTTATCACCAAAGATCAGAAACATTGGGTCTGAATCGCCAGTCCCACTGACTCGCCTTGAGAAGCTCTTATCCGAAGATGACTTCGAGTTTGTTTTGCCCGAGGATTTAGTCCAGCAGCCTGATATAACGGTAGACTACACGTTTGGGAACGGGATTCTAGGTCAACAGGATCATGGCTTCAAACCACAGTCACAAATCAGAAGGGTGTTGAACACCATGCACGAAGAGATACGGCCGGCTGCGCAATCCCACCCACATGTGGCGGAGCTTGAACTGAAGGCCTACGGGCGAGAATGGATAGTTAAAGCCCTCAAACAAGGCTTTATCTCAGTCCCATGGCTCATGTTCATTGATGGTTTTGGTTTGTATCGCAATATGTACCGATCAATGACTGGGTATGTATGTTACACTTGCTGCCCAGCCCCTTAAGACGCGGATGCATCGTGCAAATGTCTTTGTGATCACTCTTGGACCGCATGTCAAACCTGGATGATGTTCTGCTGTCCATTTTGGACCTCCTGAAGCTGGATAGGGGCATGTCCCTTAATATCAATGGCGATGAGCTGGTTATGGCTTTTACGCTAGGATATATTGGGGACATGCCCCAGCAGAATGATAATGCCGGGATACTATGCCAGAACGCAGCCGAGGGCTGCAGAAGCTGCTTGGCCTCGAAAGAGGAGCATGGAGACATCCACTTTGACTACATGAGGCTTGGCCGATACCACCATCACCAAGTCCAGCTCCGGGAGCATGGAAGCACACTTCCTCCTGCAAAAAAGAAGGCGTGGTACCAGCAATGGGGGATGCGTGAAAACCGAGCCTGCGTTGTTCAAAATATCACCAGCGCTTGATATTGTGCTGAGTCGGCCTCTGGATGTGTGTCATTAAGAATATGGCGGGCAAGGGAAGCAATCCCAGCTTCTCCTCACAACGGCAATACTGTCGAAATCGGGACTTCAAAAATACTTTAGAGAGTTCACAAGGTTCCCATCGCCAGCAAGATGGGGACGATGACAGTCGCCCCTTCATCATCTTAAATCCTGGAGCCTCTCTGAGGCTGGGATGGCCTCGATGCAAATGCCCCTGATATTGCGATGCATGCCACTCGAGAAGGAAGATATTGAGTGGAGGTTTTATAAGGCCATGCAATCTGAATTTCGAACGAAACTGAGACTATTAAAGCTGACGCAGAACAGCTTGTTGTGCTTGCTTTTGCATCGATAGCCAAGTCGAATGCAACCACTTGCGCGTGGAGGATGAACCCTGGACAGCACCAGGATGCCGAGAAGGCAATATTTGAGGGCCGTAGCATGTATCGGGGGCTCTGCAACGCTGCATCTCTGGCTTCACAGATGAAAGTTCGGAACCAAGGCAAGGGAAAAGGGAAAGGAAAGGGGCACGCATCTCTAACGCCATCAGTTACTCCACCAAGTGTCGACACAGCTACCTAGGATTTCTGCAGTGTTATAGATTTAATCGAGCAGTCGGTGCAACAAGAATTCGAACTGGTTACCAGTTCGAATTATGATGGATTTAAAGACAGCATCAGGATCCCTCGACGATTATATAAAATGGCGCAGCCGGCCGAACGTCCACCAAGGAGCCCATATCAACGATACAATTGGGAGGTATGGAAATAGTTTCAGCTGCAATGTTCTCCATTGCGAGGACAAGCATAAGTAGGTTGTCCTCCCCTTGTTTATTTGATTCTATTCTGATTATTGAGATAGACTTTTTAAGAAGTGGGCGGAGTCACTAAATGGACGCTCAGTTGAGCGTTCTTTGATGATGCGCGAGTCAGTCAACACGACCATTCGGCTCCTGCTCCAAGGAGCATTCAAGTATTCTAAGCCAGAGATTTCAAGTCAGTTGAAATCTCTCTACGAGAAATGCCCAAGTCTTATGGGCCAGATTATGCCATCTCCAGAGCAACCTGATAATGTCGAAGAGATAACCCCAGGCATATTGGAAGATGCAGCACATATCCGGCCAAGGGCAATGAGATGTGCTTCACGGGCCTTCATTCAAAATGACCTCGATCTCCCATTATCTATGAAGGGGATCCAGCACAGCATCCATTTATTTGTCAGCTCCAGCAGGCATATACAAAAGACTATCAGATGCCGCATATAACAATTCTGGGAACACAACCAATTGAATGGTTCTCCCAGCTTGGATTTACAGATCCGTGAGTTTCCCATTTCCTAATATTATTAACTTGATAGTAGCTGATCAAAAGCCCAGCGCCGCATTACTTTTGAGACTAGGAACGCATTCTTTGTTCGTGGTAGCACCATGTGTCGTTTCGACATGCGCCTTGTTCATGAGCGGGTACTAGGTGAGAAGCGGCTGTTTGTCCTTGTCACCGAGCTTGAAGATTGCGGAGAGGAGGATGAGCTGGTCATGTTGCCGTTGGTAAGAATCAAAAACTCGACACAGATGATTGTTGGTCTCCCAGGTATTGGCACCAAGCCGGTTTATAACGTTGACACAGATCCCACAAGAAGGAATGAACCGGCGCCATTTGGGAAGGGCGGCTTGAGATTGAACACCATGAAATACCACGCTGAGCAGTTATCTTTGGCTGCTTCAAGTAATTCAGCAAAGTTCATTCATTGTTGGTGGGATGTAGGGCTGATGTGAGAGAGTAGGCATGGGGATATAGGGGACATAGGGATATGAAGAAACAGGAGCGCTTTTACAGACCAGAGGTGAGGTTGTAGCTGTAGCTGTAGCTTTAATAAATGTATCCAATTACCCGTATACTTATCTATTCCTATTTCTACCTATGATGCTAGTCCTGATGGTCTGAGGATGGTGATGTCAAAACTGCCCATCCCCGCCTTCCGTGTTTGGCGATCCCACGCCAATACTCAAAGTAAGAGCCGCCTCACCTCCAACTCACAGCCAGTCGTCGAATCAACCTTCGCTGAAGGTTTGATCTACCATCAGAGTTGGTATTGATTCAGTAAGGTCAGATAAGTTAATTTCACTTGAACGAAATGTTTGGATTTGAAAAAGCCAGTTGGATTCTTGCTCTCAAGCCTTATTCCGAGCTCTTCGAGTTCGTCAAAGCATCATTTGACCTCACCCAACCATCAAATCAATGCATTTCTAGCATCCTAGAATATCTCTGGACCTTTTCCGAGCATCTCTGAAGCTTGCATCAACCTGGCCCAAAGCATACCCCAGGATGATCTCTCCGCCTTTCCTAGAACCAACAGCTGGCTAACCTTGGTGCAGATTGAAATCCATCAATTATACCCCCAAGAAGCAAATATATCCAATTGGAAAGCTTGCCGAGCTGCCTCCCAATGAATATCTCAGGCCCTCGACCAATATCTCCAATCCATCGGCAGCCATAAAGAAACCTCCCCTGTCCGCCAAGCTCGCCGAGCTACCTATCACGAAAACCTCCCCTGTCCAGCAAGCTTGCCGAGCTACCTATCATGAAAACATCCCGACCGGCAAGCTCGCCGAGCTACCCATCACCAAACGTCTCCAGGCCATCGCCGGCATCACCAAACATCCCGACCAGCAAGCTCGCCAAGCTACCCATCACCAAACGTCTCCAGGCCATCGCCGGCATCCAAACATCCCGACCGGCAAGCTCGCCGAGCTGCATATCTCGTGTCCTCTCTGGCATTGCCTCCCTCAGGTAAGTCATCTGTCTTCCCACCAAAATTCCTTGATTCTACAGACTCAAGACACACACCCTTGGCAAAATGGGGGTCGAGAAATGCTTTTGCCGTTTTTTCAAAAATCCAAAGGGGGCCTTTGGGCGTCAGAAACCCCATACAAATTTGGAAATTGCGCAAATCTTGACATTCAGACCGGCAAGGTGCACAAGATGCTTCTGATTTGAGGCATCCTGGGAGAGGCCGGGGAGAGTGGCGGCATAATCCAGGGTATCCGGGGAGGCTCATAGTTGGTGTCCAAAGGCAGGCCCTGTTTTTGGCCCTTTGCTATGCCAGATCCATGGAGCTGTTTTCAGGTGATAGTCATAGCATACCTACGTATCACATCACATGTAAGTTATGACTTTTTCCTTTGGTATTTATGTTCTGTGAACTTTGGGTGTCCCTAGTTGCGACCATCTGTGGGCGACTATACACAACAGTAGGTTGAAGCTTTGCATTTAGAATTGAAACCTCTTCCTTCTTCTCTCTTTTCCTTTTTCAGTGATTTATATGCTTAGAGGAATGACAAAGGTAGGTGCTTGGATACAGTAAGTGACTCTACTCTCAATGTCCCTTTAGGTTTACCTCTCTTCTTATCTTCTGCGTTATTTCTATTTTACTTGACCTCCTAAGAGATATGAAGAAGAGTATTACGAGCGAGATTGCGCGGGACGATCAGAAGCTTAAAAAAACTTCCGCAGATCTGGTAAGACAATCCTGTAACTTACAACAACATGTGGATGGACATATACTGACGTCTACCAGATCGGCGAAGATGTCGAGATCGATGAAGAAACTGTTGGAAACGGCGGGTATGACATAGCGGATTCGAGTGTGTGTGCAATCCTGGTCACGAGAAATAGCGAGGATGGGGCTGTTAGAGTCAGTGGTTTGGAGAACGAGGACGAAAATGTAGTGACTGGTCCAAGAGAGAAATCGGGCTATTGCATCGTCGTCGTGAAGTCTGGCCAGTTATGCTCCATATTGGGAAAGCCCACTTATCGCTTCATAAGACGTTGGACATGAGACAGATCTCTACTTTATGCTCTCTCACTTTTCTTTGCCTTCATTCACCTCATCTTACCTCGCAAAACTTTATCTTCTGCAACTCTAACATGCTCAACAATTGCTCCGCACAGTTCCATTGAAAACTCCATCTTAACATATAGTATATTTGACGATCCGAATGCTATTCCAACCGATGGCAATGGTTTGCCACCAAATGGGCATTTTATTGCAACAGTCCCGGATTCTCCAAATTTTTGTTGACGGAACTTGAATAGATCTGCACCTCGTACTTCAACTCGAACTTCTTGGGTGGGACGCATATCACCGAAGAGAGAAACTTCTATCTCTGGTCAGCCTGACTAATTTCACTGAGGAACAAGCAACTATACCGCTCGTCTGTGCAGCTGTGTGTTCTGGGGCTAGTGAAGAGCCGTCCAGTGAGTTTGAATTGTCTGCATATTGTATTTGAAATTAGCGGATTACAGGACAAAGTTTCATTGATTCGTACCACATTCTGGGACGTTGTTTAGGGACGGCGTATGCGATCTCCGACGACGCTCGGAGGCTGGTTGAGCTTCTCGTTTGAGTACTATTACGCTTTCTTGGTGGCGATTGTTGTGCTATTGCGAATCAGTCGTATCAAAACAAGTACGGAAGTAATGCCACAAACCGTCATTTCTGACACGTTTTCGAGATCCTCCTCCCACGTTATCTGCCAGTTGAGGATCTGCTGCGAATCAGCCTTCATCGACGAGCAGAAACATATCTTACTAACCATTTAGAGTGGGAACCTTATATTCTTTGGCCAGTGTCTCCAGAGCGGGCGAAAGTAGCTTGGCCTTGTTATCCCTAAGATAACCCACGAGGCCAGTTCTATCCTTTGCAGCCAAATGGACCACTCGTTGTTTTCCAAGACTGGAGGCACATAACAGGACAAGTCCAGAGCCGCAGAAGCGTAGTACATCGTGCAGAAACAACTGATATACTATTGAGTCGCGAGTAGTCTGTGAAGCTTTCAATCCATAAACCCTTTCTCCAACAATATCCACGGCTCGAACGCTCTCACGGTCTCACATCAATGGGCTGCTTCCCCCACACTGCTGCATCGTAAATTGGTCTAGCCAGGATCTCCCCCAACACTGTCTTGCCGATATGTGCTTCTCTCCGCGTTGTTTGCATTATGCACTCTTGGACCTTCTTGATTATTCAATCGGCCAATGCATGATGCTGCAACCGCGAACCGTGGTGATCCTGAACGAGAAGGATCTCCCCCAGCCGTTGTTGGTTTGCAGGGGGATTGGTCTTGCGTTAACACGATGGCAGAGGAACTGAGAAATATATAAGGGCATGCGATTCCCAAGAAGTTCGATCACAAACCTCTGCAGTCTCCAAACTCGTCAATCATCGTCAAGCTCTTGTCTGTCATCTACTCCATATTTTCCATCACGCACATCAATCCACCTAAGTTCTCTGTGTTAATCATGGCTCCAGAGATGCCCCATCAAATGCGAACTCCCCCGCCGAATACCCCGAAGGAATCATCGGAGCCTGTTGCCACATCGACGATGAAGATGGGTTCATCGCAATCACCTGGCAGAGTTGCACATCCAGCACGTCCAGATCAGGGTGCTTCAGCGTTAGGTCAGGAACGACAAGTTACGTTGAGTGTAAGTTCCCCATTCATTGCGATATCAAACCCTAGACCACCATATTCCTATGGTGGTGGGGACGTGGCCATGTGTTAGTGTGAGCGCTCTGCAATGGCAGAATCAGGTCTTATGCGCCCTTGTGACGGGGGCCGAGAACTTTTGTCCACCGTTGCAACGGAGTAACTTGGAACTGAAGCCGAGCAATCATTCTCGTTCCTTCCTCATCACGAATCTTCCAATAGACAGGAAAATCAACTCATCACTGATAACAGATTCCCAGGAGGCTCGCAGCTATCTTGATCAAATCAAACTCGAATTCGTTGATCAGCCGGATATCTATATAATGTTCCTCCAAATCATCTTGGATTACCAGAGTAAAGTGTTAGCCCTCTAGCCAATCATGCCGACTTCATTATCACATTTCATGCTAACATAATGGCTACCAAGAATCGACTCTCCTGGCGTCACCAGCCGTATATCAGAATTATTTGCTGGGCATCCCAGTCTTATACAAGGATTTAATGCATACTTGCCTCCCAGATACAGAATTGAATGCGGCTCTAGCAATGACCCTAATGCCATCTGCGCCACTGGTTATCCTGTCACAAGAAACGAATTAACTCCCATGACGCACATCAATCCACCTAAGTCCTCTGTGTTGATCATGGCTTCAGAGATGTCCCATCAAATGCCAGCCACCCCGCCGAATACGCCGACGGAATTATCGGAGCCTGTTGCCACATCGACGATACATGAGATCGGCGCGTCAACCAGCATGCTATCAGAGCAATTGGGCATAAGGACGAAGATGAGTCTATCGCAACCACATGGTGGTGTTGCACATCCAGCATATTTAGCTCCGGGTGCTCTATCGTTAAGTCAGAAACAACTAGAAGTAAGTGTAAGTTTCCCATTCATTGCGATATCAAACCCCACCCCCACCATGTTCCTGTGACAGGGATGGATAAAGTTTGTTGACCGTTTCAACGGATTAACTTGCAACTGAAGCCAAACATTCTCTTTCCTTCCTCGGCACGAGTGGTAACTGAGGAACTCTGGAGGTTCTGGGTATTGAGCCCGCACGACGTGGTTGAGTGAACTCGACTAGCGAGCACCTCCACACGTAGAGATTCCATAGAGCAGCTCTCTTGCCTCAATCAATTAATCAACATCACATACATCAATGCACTGTCAGGTTATGAGCCCGGGTCGCGTATGCACCCATATAACAAGCAGTCATTGGTTTGATTCAACAATCAACTTTGTGGAAGTCATTGGAAAGCTCTTTGAGTATCCTCACAACTTATCACATATCAACAAACCCGTCAATCTCACCTCAACCAAGGCGTGTCGACAACAACATCAACAACCACCTCAACCCCACCCTTTCCTCCAGATCAAATTGGCTAACTCAAAATAACGGTCAAGATGGAGAAAGACCCCAAGATTCCGAAACTTGAAGGCTCCAAGAACTACAAGACTTGGAGAGCAACCTTACGCATGTACCTCGAATCACTCTCACTTTGGGACATCGTCTCAGGCCATACAACTCAACCCCAAAAGCCTAACATCCTTGAAGAATACCTCGATGAAGATGGCGAATTCAAAGACTCAAAGATTAAGGCTCGCATCGGAGCTCAGAGTCTCACTTACAACAAATGGAAAGCCAACGATGCAAAAGCTCGACTCGTCATCGTCACTTCAGTTCCAGCTACACTCACTGCACAAATCCAAGATCTTGAAAGTGCAAAGGAGATGCTCGACCTCATCACAACCCGCTATGATACAGAAGGTCCTGTGCAGATGCTAGTGCACTATACAAACTGGATCAACTGTACATGGGATGGCAAGGGACTGGATAAGTTTATCAACAAATGGTCATCACTCCTGGCTGCAGCAAATGAAGCCAAATGCGACATTACCGACACCGTCAGAACTCTCCAGTTTATCCACATCCTCTCCAACTTCTATCCTGTTTGGGCTGCTACTATGAGACAAGAGTTTCGCAATGGCAAAGTGCCAGACATCAACGACTGCATCAACACTGTTCTTGATGAATCAAAGCAGAAGAATGATGGAAACCTTGTCAACTTTAATGGTCACAACAAGGAACATACAAAGTCAAAACCACAACACTGTCAAAACACACGTGACAAGTGTCCATGCTGTGGCAAATCCCATACAGTTGACAAATGCTTTCATCTCCACCCCGAGTTGAGCACAATTGCAGGATTCACACCAAAGGCAGAATGGGTAGAGAAATACAACAATCAGAAGACGGCCAAGAAGAACTCTAAGAGAGGCATCATAACTATGGCAATGCTTCCATCTCCTGCATCTACACCTTCACTTGTTCTCTCTACTTCACAATCATGGTATAAGGAGATGTGGATCGTCGATACCGGATCATGCTATCATCTTTGCAACAACAAAGATGCCTTCATCTCGTTACAAAATATCGTCCCATTGCAAGTTGAATCCGCAAATGGATCTGTCTTTGCACATCAAAAGGGAACAGTTCAACTTGTCACTGTTGATACAGATGGCAACCATGTTACGCGTCAGATTACAGAAGTCTACTACGCGCCCACCATTCCTGGTAGCATCATCTCAGCCAAGGTGTTGCAGTTTAGAACAGATAATGCAATCATCTGGATGGGAGACACTATGACGTTCCGTCTTAAGGAGACAGGGATCGAAGTCATGTACACACCATTCCATCCTACTCTTCAGCTTTACTGCCCACAAGTCATGGGCATTGGCGATCAACACATCGATCAGGGTACACTTGCTTTACCTGTTGTTCCCACCATCATCTCCATTAACATCAATCTCCTTCATCGACGCCTTGCACATGCAGGATGGGATTCCATCCATAATCTTGCAAAGCAACTTGGCTACAAGCTTACTGGAGAACAACAGTTCTGTGAAACATGCCATGTTACAAAAGCACAACAGAAGATCTCTCACCAACCACAAGAGAAGACAACTGCAGTTGGAGATCTTATCCACTGTGATACAGTTGGCCCACTTACAAACACTGGACACCGTGGAGAGAAAATACTTCATTCTTTTTACAGATGATTTTTCAGGATACCGATGGGGAGAAGCTTATAATAATAAGAGTGATGCCTTTCCTGCTTTGATTAAGTTCATCAATTTCTACCACAACCAGATGGGATCTCACATCAAGAGACTTCGCATTGACGGAGGAACAGAGTTCTCACAACAACAACTTCAAGAGGTTTGTCAGAAGTATGGAATCAAATATGAACCATCGGCTCCATACCACTCATATCAGAACGGCAAAGCCGAGACGGCGAACCATACTATGGAAGTCCATCTCAGATCCATGATCCAAGGCAGTGGACTTCCATACAAGATATGGCCAGAAGCTTTCATAACAGCTCTCAAAAGCATGAACAGAACACCTACTCGCAAGAACGAAAATTCAAAGACACCACATCAAGTGCTTTCTGAGTTCTGCGAACAAACTCATATTCTCCCTAACATTGCTCACTGGCGTACATTTGGCTGTACAGCTTATGTTTACATACCAAAGCAAAAGAGAGTTCAAGGACAGAAGTTCCATGTCCGAGCTCAGAAAGGCAAACTCGTTGGCTACGAAGGTGATCACATTTATCGAATCTACATCCCCACGCAAAACAAAGTCATCCGCACCTCTCACGTCACATTTAATGAGAACGAAATCAATCCAGTGCACCCGCTTGCAACTTTCGACAGCGAGGATACAGATGACGAAGATGATTCTGGATATATTACTCTTAATGCTGACCACTTCCATCCAGATCTCCCTGTAGATTCGGGGGGTGTTCTTCCTCTTGATCTTCACACTCTAACATATGGGGGGGTGATTTCGCCTCAAGATTCTTCACCACAAGGATCAGACTGTGAATCTACTCATGAAGATCCTACTCCGCTTGCAAATCAAGAGATTCAACTCCCACAACTTGGTCGACAGACTCTTCTCGAGCAGGAATTTGAAGACATGTCTTTCATCGATCCACCTCCTACTCAACAGCAACAACTTGATCTACCTCAACCTGCCTTACACTAACACCGTCTCCATATTCAGGATCAACCTGTCTCCTCTTCCTCTCACTCAAAACGCAAAGTTAAACAGACAGAGAAAGGTCAGCAATATACTCAAGCTTTGCAACAACAAAAAGATAATCTTGCAAAGAAGCGTCAAAACCACGGACACGCTCTCTGTATTCTTCCACCTACAGTCGCATATTGCTTTGCTGCAGGAATGGATCATAAACCAAACATTCAAGATCTTCCTCTTGAACCACGCACTTGAAAAGAGGCTATGGCCCATCCTTTTAGTGAAGAGTGGAAGCAAGCTACGGATAAGGAGATCTCTCAACACGTCAAAAATCACACTTGGACTCAAACTCTACATCATAAAGACCAACGTGTTCTCCCTGTGAAATGGGTATTCAAATACAAGGCCGATGCAGAAGGCAAATTAGCTTCTTGCAAAGCTCGTCTTGTTGTCCGTGGTGACAAACAGCGTCCGGGATTAGACTATCTCGAGACATATGCAGCTGTTGTACGCACAGCCACCTTCAAACTCCTCATGGCCATTGTTACAATCTATGACCTCGAATGTATTCAGCTCGATGTTGTCTGTGCTTTTATTAATAGTCCCATCGACAACGATTTGCTTAAGTCCATAAAGAGCCTTAAGAAGATGAGCAACAAGGGCACGGCCGTGTGCATCTGTAGATTGAAATCCAGGTGGAAGGCGAATGTAGATATTAGCACCTCTTTTATGGCAACAAGAAATCACTACATTCCTCGTTTCTCTCGGATACCAGCTTCTTAATGCAGATCCTTGTGTCTTTCAACATCATAAGCACGGTGGAATCATCATCATCTACGTTGATGATATTATACTCATCCACCGCAACCTCCAAACTGTCACAGAGATGAAGCAACAGCTCTGCGATAAATACGAACTCCGTGACCTTGGTCCACTTAACCATTACCTCGGAATGAAAATCACCCGTGATCGCACTCGCAAAACCATGCAGATTTCGCAGGAGACCTATATTCAGAAAATTCTCAAGCAGTACTATATGGAAGACTGCAAAGGAGCTTCTCACCCTATGCAGCCTGATGGCGTTCATCTTAAGCCTTTTACCGGTTCAATAGATGAGAATTTATGTCAGGAATACCAGAGTATGATCGGTGCTCTTGGCTATGCTGCAAATACTACACGCGCTGACATTGCTTTTGCAACTCATAAGCTCTGTCAATTCGCAAACAATCCAAGCCAGCAACATATGGATCACGCCTTACATGTCTTGCGATACCTTAAGAGCTTTCCAGACCTTGCAATTTGCTTTCAACTCCACAAACCACTCTTACCCTTGATCAATTTCAAGATGGTCGATTTGGTCCACCAGGACTTGATTTCGTGGGCTACAGCGATGCCACATTTGCAGACAACTCCGACAACAGAGCAAGCTCTCATGCATAAAAAGCGGTAAACAGACTCTCACCGCTACTTCATCAACAGAGGCTGAGTATATTGCCATGACCTACGCTGCCAAGGAGGCTGCCTGGATTCAACAATTGCTCACAGAGCTTAAATACTTCGGTCCTGACCTTCACCCTGTTGTCATTCATGGAGACAACAAACCAGCTATCTCACTCACTCAGCCTATTCAATTCCATGCACGTACGAAGCATATTGAAGTTTATTGGCACTACATCAGACAGCAAGTCGCAAAGGGAATGGTCAAATTGGAATACATTGCAACAGATGATATGGTTGCAGATGGTCTTACAAAGCCATTGTTTCCTGTCAAGCATGCACGTTTCATTCAACAGCTGGGTTTGGTCAAAATGACAGATATCGAGAATATCACAATGTAAAATAGTACAATGCAATACAGAGGCACGTCTTATGTGGCCTGGGGGGTGTGAGGAACTCTGGAGGTTCTGGGTATTGAGCCCGCACGACGTGGTTGAGTGAACTCGACTAGCGAGCACCTCCACACGTAGAGATTCCATAGAGCAGCTCTCTTGCCTCAATCAATTAATCAACATCACATACATCAATGCACTGTCAGTAACCCATGTTTTCCACCATCCAAGAAAGAAATCGTACGTCCACTCCTGATTTTGAAGGTATTTACTAAGTACTGGCAAGATGAATTCGTTTCCAATCCCTATAAGTATGTTGCCACATAACGCTGACGCGAAACATCAACGGAAACGCAATGCAGAAGGTCCAGAGCAAGCAGGGGGTAAAGATAAGGAATAAACTAGGTGTGGATAATGCAACTGCCACCAACCCTGGCTCAGATCTGTTCGACCCTCACCTGCATTTTCGAGAAGGTTTCCTTACCTGTAACAGTCACGTGGAAAATTATGGCTCTCTTATACTTAATGTCACTCTCTAGCTATATTACTCTCTAGATGCCCCAGCAATCCTGGTTGCAAATTACTCTGCAATGTCATGATACCGTTGCCATTTTACTATGCACCCACGTGAGTCTCAAAGGAAATGGAACTTCCTGACAATGGAACCTGCCAAACGGTAACTCATTCCCAAAGGCACAGAAGACACTACACTACCAACAAAACGACGGTACAAATAACATGATGGTAGCTCATCCCAAAGGTGCAGAAGACTCTACAGTACCTGGCATTTCACGGTAGCTCATTCCCATCAGTGCAGACAACCATCTTCCGTGGGTGGTAAGTGTGAGACAGATCTTCGGTGGCCTTGCATTTCAAACCAATGACTCTCTTGGTTGCCTCCGCGTGGAGATTTGCTGCAGATTCATGCATCCTATCATCAATAGCAAGCTCATCTTCTGCGATTAGGAGGATTGTGTGTGTCCTATTATTGATGACTACCTGAAAGCATTCCGCGGGGCTCATCATTCGCAGATATGTGTTGAAAGCCCTGACTTCCTTCCGTGATGTAATCGTTGACCAAGCGTTCGATATTAGAAGGATTTTCTGGATTGACTGCGAGTGGTGTTAGGTATTTCCAAGTATCGTCCTCCCATCTAATAAGGTTGATGTCTATCTCTCTCTCCAGTCGCTCTCTCTCTCCAGCCTCTCCCTCTCCAGCCTCTCCTTCTCCAGCCTCTCCTTCCCCAGCCTCTCCTTCTCCAGCCGCTCCTTCTCCAACCATGCTTCCCTTCGCTTTTTATGTTCCAGAAGCTTCCGCTTCCACCTTTCATCCTCGGCTGGCGTCGAGCTGTTCGCTGGCTGCTCTGGCTCACCACCATCACCCATTCCTTCCGCCTGGGTTTGGCTTGGACCTGCTTCTGGGACAAAAAGGCCATGTCATCTTCTGCAGGTTCTAGCGTACTAGGTGGCTGGTCCGTTCAGGACCCGACCATGTGGTGTTGAGTATCAGGGCCTGATTCTTGAGGTAAATCTCTGAAGTCTGGAGCAGGGAGAGATGGAGAGCGGCCATGGCTACCACCCTGGGCAGTAGGCCTCCAGGTTGGCCAGCCAAAGAAGGCGAGATAAACTTGTTTTCGGACGAAGAAGTTCGTGATGCCTTTCTTGTTGCTCCCTCTCATTGTGGAGGTGATTGATAAACCAATATTTCTGGTCCTCGTTGAATTTCAGCCTGAGTGGGGTGCCGCATCTATGAGCTATCCCCACCCAGATCCCGATGTAATGAGGGGAGGATGCTCCGATGGTGGGGCTTGCTCGGCGAGTGCAGCTGGGTACTGCTGCAAATGCTTTATCCTGGGGCCGGTAAACCCCAGCTGGTCAGCCAAGTCAGCGAAGCGGCGGAGGACAGCTCGATCTGCCATCGCTGCAGGTTGCATCACGCGGTCCTCCTTCACTGGTTCCTTTGGCATATCCGCGAAGTGCCGCATGGCATACGCAGTGATCTGCCAGTACCCGAGATCGACTTGGTCTCTGCGCATTCCCTGCCCGTACACAAAAGCATTCTCGGCGACCTGAATCTTAGCCTGGCCGTCCGTGATCCGTATGCGGCTGTCTTTTTGATCAACAGGGGAGAATAGTTGCTTGAAGGCATGAGAGATCTGGACATTGTCGCCCGTTAGCCGCTTGATGCAGTTGGTGAGGCGCTCCAAGTACCCGATGTCTTTGAAGAAGGTCGCGAGAGATGGAATTAAGCCCTCAACGCACTCTACCTGGCCCAGATATTATCATGCTCGCAGTCATCAAAGGCGCTGAATACCTCCCCCCCACACACTCGAATGTGGAGGAACTCCGCGTTCGCTTTTGACGCTCGTGGTGCCTTCAGCTCTAAAGCCTTCACTGTGGTTTGATCGATCTTTCCATAGCAGCCTTATTGCCACGTACTAGATCGGACCAGACCTGCTTGATGCGGCGGAGGTAGTGTAAGAGTTCCTGTAGCATGAGAAATCAGCCAAAATCAACCATGTCAGCACTCTGCCTACCGTATCACACTTCAGAGCCATCATTTTGTGCAGCGTAGTGATCTTCATCCCGCCCCAGAGACCTGGGATGTCGAGCAAGTCATCGAATGCCGCTGTCATTGCTTCATTACGGGTGAGCATCAGCAGGTACTGCTGCCGCTTGCCTCGCAGGAGCGCCTTCCACCGCATTTCAAAGCTGAAATTCTGCAGGAAATGGTAGCGCTGCATCTTGTAGTAGATCTCGCCATCTGAGGGCTTCTCCTCATTGGAGTATTCTTCGATGAGGCATGTCTTCAGGTTGATGTTCAGGTCTAGGTAGTCACATGTTAACATGACCCCGTATTTTCAGAAAGCCTCGATTTTACCTGAGAGGTACAGATCAACCGTCCACCAATCGTTCCCAGGATCGAGAAATCCACACCCAGCTTCGATCCTGTGCCGGCTGTGGAGACACTCAAGATGGAAGCTGGTCAGAAATTCGAGCAGGGGATAGTCAGGCACCTCATTATTAGTCAGCAAGGCATCCGCCGTCTTCCCCAACTGCTGCATTGCAGAATCGAGGCTTTCCTGGTCGATGATCGCAGGGACGTGATTGCAGAAAGACAGTCGATGACATCCTTCCTTCCGAAAACAACCCCAGGAAGTCCGCTTGTCTCTTGTTTGATTCACATGGCTGATCTTGGCGGAAAAAGAGCATGTCGAGACTGATGCGGGCAGTACCCTTATACTTCAGTCGACACTCCCCCTCAAGCAAGGAGTCCTCGTTTTGGGCTTGAGACTGTTGCATATTGAGGGCTGAAGGGAGTGGACTAGAATGGAGGCTGGAGGGAGGAAGAGGGTAGTGGGAATGAGTGTGCCCTGGGTCGCGTGGTACTTATAATACTATCGGTGCATCTGGGCTGCTTCTAACTAGGTACACCCCCCCAACTTGCTGCTGGTAGTCAAAGGCCTGTCCACTTCTCTTTCATCTCTAACATGTTCCAGGCCCTTTGTCTTTCTGACATAAATGCTCCGTTTGCCCACCTGCTGCACACCAGTCGCAGCTGCCGTTATTTACATTTGCCTATGAATAATGGAGTCCCTCTCTGCCAATGACCGACTACAGTCTGCTTCAACCACTGCCGATGACCTTGAGCACAATGTTTCCATCAAGGACAATCGTATGACGAGGATCATCTTTGGCGATGGGCCTGGTTTCGACACCAACGCACGAATCGACATGCCAGAGGAGAGCGTCTCTCCTGGCTTTGCTTCACTGATCTCGAAGAAGAGAAAGGTTATGGCATCGCAGGACCATGAGCCTAAGCAACGCCACAATATAAAAGCTTCTCTGGACAGCCGTGAGACAGCCACTAAGTCCGGTCTCAGGGACCTACAGGTCGTGAAAGCTGTCCAGAGCGGTGCCAGCACCGCTCTGGACAGCTTTCACGACCTGTGAATCGCCATGGGCCCGCTGCTGTGAGAAGTTCGAACTGAACCTCGGTGGATATGTCTCTATTGTAGCTGATCGATCTCCCCCGTATGATATTTTTATAGTGAAGCGCCTGAAGGGACCTGATGCCTCCCAGAGGGTCCGCATGCTACAGAGAGTACAGCACCAGAACTTCCACAACATGGTTGACTGCTTTAGCTTTGAAAGCTCTCACTATGCCGTCTTTCAGCACCTTCCTGTCATGCTTGACAATATTGTGTACTCGCCTCCCTACCTTACCGAGCTTGAGCTGGCGGCGGCACTGGCACAGGTGCATCCTACAACTATGATAGGTCGACGTGCTGACTGGTACAGATTGTCAAAGGGCTCAAGTATCTCACCTCGTGTCGACTTGAGCATGGCTCTCTTAACTGCTCTAACATTCTCGTCGGCACAGAAGGAGATATAAAGATTGGTGAGCTAGCTGCCTGCCCCAAGTCCCCAAATCAAACACAGCCATCAGTCGGTCAGGAATGCTGCAGGGAAATGACACTTCCGGGTCGGGAAGTTCGCGAGATATGGTGTCTCTATTGAGTATTACCATGAAGCTGATGCAGAAGAGCGCCTACAAGAATGGAGCCAGCAGTGCCCACGACATGGAGCGATGGCCAGCCGACTGCAAAGCTGTTGACTTCCTGGCCAAGATCCAGGTAGCCAGGTCTTTTGACGAGCTATTAGACTCAGCTGGAAAAAAGAAGACCTTAAGTGGATGGTAGCTCTGGTGGCAGTCAGTTCTCACCAAGGCTTCCGTTACCATGAACAGTCACGAGATGTTTTGGAAGCATAAGCTAACACACTCGTCTGATTTTGCTCTCCTTTCTAGTATGCGGTCGTGTCACTGTTTGGTTTTACAGCTGTATTTAAAATGTTTCTACGTGGATAAAGGTCAGCAGATTGTGTAGTGATGGAATTGTTATGATTATAGCCTTACGGTTGTTATGGTTGTTACGGTTGTTACGATTGTTACAGTTGTTACGGTTGTTACGGTTGTTACGGTTGTTACGGTTGTTACGGTTGTTACGGTTGTTACGGTTGTTACGGTTGTTACGGTTGTTACGGTTGTTACGGTTGTTACGGTTGTTACGGGTGCAGCCTTAGCCGCCAAGGCTACAACCGCTAAGCGGACAACTGTATATTACGAGGAATAGCCTCACCTTCCTTCCTTCTTCTTCTTCTTCTCTCTTTAGATTCAATCTAGCTTATTATTCTCCGGACTGGCTTCTTGACCTCTGTGACCATCATAACAGGAATCACTTCGAGCTTGGCACATCTTGGTATATAAGTGACAGTTAATCATATATCAAAAAAACTGTTCCAAACCCTTTCATAACTGTGTCTTTGCAGACCATTTCTATAATCTACGCCTATGAAATCCATTCCTTGTACCTTTGCCTTTCCATATGACTGGATCTACAGGACCTCCATAAACGCTTTGCGGTATTCATTGATTTGATGGCAAGTAAGGGCATGTGTAATAAGAGTAATGTAATGAACCGGAAGACATCTCTGGTGGCAGTGAGGAGAGTGGATGGTTAGGGTTAGGCTCTCCTCGTATCGATAGCACCACACGCTAGGCTTACCAATAGCCATTAGGTCTCCTCATCCGAGTTCCTGGGCTACATGGGATCGTCCACGGCCCTCTCCATAGTTCTGACAGCAGCGCAGGTTGCAGAGATTGGATGCCTTATCGATATTGCATGGAGTTATATAATGTACTCCTCAGCCCAAATCATCCCGGATCAAATTCATACAGTAAGGCACTCCGAGCATGATACAGTACGTGGCTCATCACATCGCGGTAATTGAATACTGTCACGGTTCACCAAGGAGCACTCGAGCAGTGGCTTGATCTATATACAGCTATGTTGTTGTGGAGTGAATTCTCTTTAGCGAGACCAGTTCTGAGAATTCACTCCACAACTGAAAACTTCGCTCCAACCCCGGAAAGCTCCCCACACCCCTGAACCCCCACTCGAGCTGCAAGGCGCACTTGATATCGTAACACTACCCCCCCCCCTACTCCAGAGTTGATCTCCTGATCAAGAAATCCCATTTTCAAAAAAAAAAACAATTGTCTCCAGCTCTCATTTTGGTTTCTGAGGGTATTTTCTGTGATATGCTTGGGTAACTTCTGGAGAATTTTCAAAGCTCTCTGCAGTATACCATGTCTCATCCGGTGGATAGTTCTTCCAAGCTGCCTTGTAGAAAAGCTTCTTTCGAATAACTTTTGAGTCGAGGATTTCGTCCACTTCCCACTCCTCTTCGCCATTGACAATGACTGGAGGCTCTGGCTCCTGTTGCTGCCCTTCGATTGCATCATTCGAGTCAAGTCTTAATAGATTGGCATGAAATACTGGATGAATCTTCATGCTGTTTGGAAGTTTGAGCCGATATGCAACTTGCCCAATTCGCTCTAGAATTTCAAAAGGTCCCACTTGCTTGTGGTCTAGCTTCTTTGATGGCCTCTGTGTCTTCATATTTCGAGTTGAAAGCCATACTCTGTCTCCCACTTGATAGCGTGGTGCAGGTTTCCTTTTCTTGTTCGCGAAATGTTCCATTTTTGCTTGCGAGAGCGTGATTTCATCCTGCAGAAACTCCCAAACCTTTGCCATGGTCTGAGCTATGTTCTTGTGCTCTTGTTTGGCTTCGTGATATGCTTGCTGCTCTGTATCGAAGCTCATTCTTGGTTCATAGCCCTTGTTCGCAAAAAACGCACTTGTCTTGGTTGCATCTGATGGCAAACTGTTGGCAGCAAACTCCGCCATGCACAAGTATGAAACCCAATTGTCTTGAAGATAGTTCACATAAGCTCGCAAGTAGCGTTCGAGCTCTGCATTGAATCGCTCAGTCTGTCCATCTGTTTCTGGGTGGAAGGCAGTTGAAAGTTTGGCTGAAATTTTCCAAATTTTGCAGAGCAAACTCCAGACTTCTGCAATGAACTGAGGACCTCTGTCTGATATTATCGAGTTTGGTAGACCATGGTGCTTCCATACATGTCGAAGTAAGAGCTGTGCTGTAGCTTCTGCAGTAGTCCCTTCTTGCCCAGCGAAACACAGAATGAAATGTCTTTCTTTCGTCAACCTGCATGCAACAACCAAGATAGCATTGTTCCCTTCACAGAGTGGTAATCCTGTCACGAAATCCATTGATATATCCATCCATGGTCGACTGCCAATAGGGATTGGTTGTAGAAGTCCATTGTAGGAATCTCGAGATGGTTTCGATCTTCGACAACTATGGCAGTTTTTGATATATCGAATTATTGTTTTGTCCATGTTTGGCCAGTAATAGTGCTGTTTCATGACTCGCAGCATCTTTCCAGCTCCTGGATGTCATACTGACATTCGTTGCACTCAGTTTGCTATCAAACTCAAGAGCAAACTTAGAAATCTCCTCCTCAAACCTACAAGTCACCATACATATCTTGGCTTATCACACCAACAACAGAAGCAATACTACTCAACGATTGCTGAAAACTCTTCTACTACATCTGTTTATGCTACATACATCACGGCATATCATTTGGACACTCATTGAACAAGTTATTAAGAAAATCTCCTCCTTAAGGGGGTGGGCCAATACTACCACATGGCATATCTCTACCAACTAGAGGCCTAGGAACATGAACGATAGCTCTAGAAGCTTCTACAACCCTCTATAATTCATTACACGTCATCGCTCCTTAGTTACCCACAAGATTGGTTAAGTTATGACATAATTTGTCTATAGGTACTCTGACCTTGGACCTCCTTTTCACTTCCTATAGGCTAGGAACCCAAGAGATGGTTCTATGGGATTCTCTTACGTTCACTACATGATTAGCAAGCTAGTTGTGGGTCGCACTTGATTTCTAATACATTTACCAAGCCTGGTTAGTCATGGAAAGTCATGGAAAATGAGAGAACTACACTCCTTTGGCATAAATAGGATTGCCCTTTCCTTAAGAAAGGGCAAGCAGGCAATACAGTAAATCGACTAGCACATACTTCTACGTCTTTTCCAAGCTTCCAAGCATTGATCTTGTTATTCTCTGTTTTTGAAAAGTCAGTGAGGTGCTAACCTCTGACTTACCCCTGAGTTCTCAGACTCAACATTTGTTGCAACTTGTCTAAACCACTTCACCACATCATACACCTGATTGCTGCGTTGTGGAATAGTCTAAGCTGCAACCCTTTGGCTCTGTTTCCTAAGACAGTGTGTTGTCTTAGTAAATTCATCCCTTCCTTGGGTGGCTAGATTCTCATATCTGGTGCACCCACCATTACACTGGATGTCCCATAGAAGGTTGTTCATGAACTTCTCTCAACAAGTCCACCTGAATGGTTTCTGGCACCCAAACTCGATTTTGATATTCTAGCATGCCGTTTTTGAGTTCGCAATAAGCCAATGCAACCTCTTTGCTTGTTCGATCACCATTCTCAAGCTTCTGTAGTGTAGCCTTGCAGAATTTGTCTTCCAGTTGAGACTTTTGGATTTTCTCAAGAATTGTCATTTCTCTGATATGAGTTTCCACTGGAGCTAGCTCTTGTTCTTTGAGTTTCTGAATGTCTGGATGTAGCCTCGAAGGTGGTAGCAACACCTGAAGCTGTTGCTTTTGTCGATCATCCTCATCATTGCCTTCTGGTCTGTCACCAGGCCTTCGAGTCAAAGCATCTGCTTTTCCATTTTGCTTCCCAGGCCTATAGATGATTTGGAAGTTGTATCGAGAGAGGAATTCAGCCCATCGAGCTTGTCTTCTTGTCAGCTTCTTGGTGGACATGAAGTATTCCAAGCTTTTGTGATCAGACAAGACTTGGACTGGAAAATCTGTCCCTTCAAGTTCTGGTCTCCATGCTTCGAAACATCTGATGATTGCAAGCAATTCCTTGTCATATATCTCGTAATTGCATTCTGCAGGTGCTAGCTTTTTCGAGAAGTATGCCACTGGATGTAGAACCCCTTGATCATCTTTTTGTGACAAGACTCCTGATGAGATGAAGTCTGAGGAATCTGCTTCGACATAGGCTGTCTTGTGTCTATCGAAATGCCTCAAGACAGGAGCTTCTGTGACTGTTTGTTTCAACAGCTCGAATGCAGTTTGGCATGCATGAGTCCATTCGAATATCTGATCCTTTCTGGTAAGGTTTACCAATGGCCTCATGATGCTGGAGTAATTTCGGATGAACCTTCGATAGAAATTGCAGAATCCAATGAAAGCTTGCATATCCCTGAGCGATTTTGGAGTTTGCCATTCCAATATAGTAGAAACCTTTGCAGGGTCCATGCGAATGCCATTGACTCCCACGATGAGTCCTAGGAATTTGGTTTCTTGGACGAAAAACTCACATTTTGAGATATCTGCTTGCAGTCCAGCTTCTCGAAGCTTCTGTAGGACTTTCCTTATGTGCTCTGTATGCTCCGCTCGAGTAGCACTGTAGATAAGAATGTCATCCATGTATGCGGTGACGAATTGGTTGAGGTAATCCATGAGGGTTTCATTCATGTACCTCTGGAATGTTGCTGGACCATTTGTGAGTCCGAAGGGCATGACCTTGTATTTGTAGGATCCAAATCGAGTTCTGAATGTAGTGAGGTCTTCATCTTCTTCTGTCTGCATTCGAATTCGATTGAAGGCATGTCGAATGTCCAGTTTGGTGAGATATTTTGCTCCTATGACTTGGGCCAGCGTTTCATCAATGAGTGGTATGGGATATTGATCCTTTTTCGTTATGGCATTTAGCTTCCTGTAGTCAACACAGAATCGAAGACCACCACCTGGCTTTCTCACAAACATAATGGGTGAAGAGTATGGGGCTTTGCTTGCTTCAATGAACCCTTTTGGCAAGTGCTCGAAGACATATTCTTCGACCAAATCAAGTTCTTCCTTTGACATATTCCAGAGTGGTGCATATCCCAGCTTTGCATCACCTTCGAGTTCAATATGATGGTCTGAAGGTCGATGGGGAGGTAGCTTGTCTGCTGCCATTTTTGAAAAAACATCCAAAAATTCATGAAATTCCTTCGGAAGGATCAGTCGAGAGTCAATTTCTTCAGTTTTGGTCTTGTTCTTGTGCTCGATTATGTCCTTCATTGATATAGCAAAGACTTGAGCTCCTCTTTGCTTCATGAGCATTCGAAATGGTGCTGCGCCAATCATTGCTATGGTGCA